GCCCCCCCCCCCCCAACACACACTCAAGTCCTACACCTAAAATGGAAAAGGTGTTGATGTTTGGAGCTCTACCATTAACAAATCTTAGATCCGACCACAGGGCGTTGTGGAGATTGGTTGTCAGATTAAATTAAAGACTGTCGTCATCTTCTAAATAAAACTGTAAACAAGAACGTGTGATCTGCCACTGCAGAATTTCCGAAAGGTATGGTATCGCAGAAATACCCATGGCCCGACATGTCCATCATATATTCCTCCATAGCAGACATCACAAACCTAAACGAGATATGTGATATGGATGCTAACTTTTATATACCATATGCAAAATAAGTATAATAGTACCACATAACTTTATTTACAACATTCATTCTCCGATCCCATAGACTGGCGTAAAATTGTTTATACATGTGAAGGAAAATCCAACCAATCTAGGTAATATCAGGCATTATATCATCCAATTGTTGCATGGGATATTTAGAACTAACATTCATGTCAATATATATGACTTTATTTTTTCAATACATTGCTGTAACAAATGGATAATTAAATATTTTTCACCTTCATGCTGATCGGTGCCGATCAGTATGGCTACTACCGGAAGAAAGGACAACTGAGGAGGTCTCGTTTTCCTACGTTCCCAACGTGACTTCCTGTTCAAGGACTGACAGTGGGTCGAAAGTGTAAACACAAACATTGGCATGCATTTCCAGCTAGGAAACACGACGGTAATTTAAACGATTACGATTTTAGGGAATTGAATAACAGTAACAGTTCACATATATAGTATCTAATGTGGCGTTAAAGAAAAGGCCGCACCAAATTTGCTGAAGAGCACAGTGCGTAGTTCGCATAAACTCTAACGCGGGAATTTTAGAATGTGCAAAATCAGTAAGTTTCTAAAAATGAAGCTTACTCAATCAATATATGTGGCAACCTTATGCACATCATATTACATAAAGGGAAGCGGATAGTATGGGTTACAACAGAATTGAGGTAGTGACTGTTGACAATAGTTAAGGATTACAAGAGCCGGGGACACGCATTTAGCATCAGTCGTCTGTATAATATCGCCTGGACACTGTTTATTTAACAGCGGATGAGAGTAAGCATTGCATTTCTTAGACAATATTGATTGATTCAAGGACAAATCTATCTTGAATCATGGACACTTCTTTGCAGGACAACATATATGCTGTCAGACAAGAGATTCAACCTGTCTAGCAGGAAACTAGGACAAATTAAATGCAAAGGTCAGACTGAGATTTGAACCCTGGACCTCCAATTAACTCTAGACAGATGCTGTAACCAATTGAGCTACCTGGTTGGTTGAAATTGACCTAATCCAGTCGCCCTAAACTTTAAACAGTCTATTATTTATACTGTCTGTACAAAAAAAAAATCCATGTACTTTTCTATCTCATATATGGTATTGCTTGAAATCATCTGTTGTTGTTGCACACATGTATATCAACTGTTATTTACTAACAGTCCTTACAATTTTTAGCTCTGATAGATTGCATGGCTTTGTCTCTCATCTTTCAGGTACTCATTTAGGGGTCTTGCTGGTATCTATCTGAATCTGTGACTTAATTTTGATGAACAGAGGACAATCATTAAGAAATAATAACATGCATCTTGTTCCCGAGAAATATTCTTGCTATTCAATTTGCTGTAAAAGTGTCATGTTGTCGAAGTATGGGCAATTGCAATTTTTTGGTATTAATGTGTTGATAGATAGATAGATTCATGCATATGTAACTAAAAACTGTTCATTTTTTGTTGTTTACAGATTAATTCAGGACAGTGAAAAGCCATAAGCATGAAAAGAAATTAAATATGGATGATGAATGGAGCATCAATCAGACACAACAGAGTCAGACAGGCACATCTAAATTTATTGTCCTTGATTCTCAAGAACAGGCTGACGAAATACAGGAAAATTGGCCTGCTCTACAACTTCCAATGGTAATGTCTAAGTCAAATACTGATGTAATTTGTAGGTGTACCAGTCATCAAAATGGGTCAGGGGTGACCAGGTGATTAAGGCGTCAAACATTCTGCTACCACTTGCCCTCCACCACTCGGGCCCAGGTTCGAGGCCTCTGTGAGGCAGTCGCCAGGCACTGGCCGTAGGTCAGTGATTTTTTCTGAGAACTCTGACATTCTTCCACCACAAAAACCTGGCACATTCTTAATTGACCATAGTTGTTAATAGGACGTAAAAAAACAAACCAAAACCAAACCTGCCCAATCAAAATGGGTTCATACTTAAGTGTGCTTGGGCTTAAACAATTTTCTATATAAATGCATTGAAAAGTTCTCTGCTACAGTAATTGTATACAATATAGTACATATTTATCTTTCTTTTCAGTTTCAGATGGACTTGCAGTCCAATAATAACATACAGCCAAGCAAGACTAGGCGGTTGGGTCTGATTGGGGACCTTTCTGAAGATGAACGAAAATTAGGTGACATTTTGAGTACACAGTTATTCTTATTTTTACAAAAATAATATAAGTAAGGATAATACAGGCATTACTTTTTCAACTTCATAGCTTTCTTGAAGAAAGCACAACTGTTATAAAATAATTACTTCTTAGTCAACTGCTTTTTATGAGTGCATCAAAAGATTTTTTAGAAATGGACAAATTTTTTATCTTGCCTTAATGCAAAGGCCTAATGAGTAATGACAATTCAAAATTTTTATAGTAATATAATTTTCATTTTTTAATTACCACGTACTAAAGTAACAGATTCTATTTTGTAATGGCATATTTTTTAAGGACAAGTGAAATAAATAATAATTTTGAATATTGAGGTCTGAATATGTTACGATTTGAAAATACATATAATGAATGCTGATGTAAATGGAGCATTCCTTTTACAGTTTGAAGCTATGTTTTAATTTCAACAGAATTTTCTTGTATAAATATAGAATTCTTTCTGTCCAGAAAATGCTGAGGTGTTAGTGCCAGATAGTGAGTTTGAGGGGACAAACCTGCACAGACAGAGAAGCTCCAGCAAAGGGTATAGGTTACCAAGGTAAATTTTCAGCAGGGGCACTGGTTACCAAGGTAAAGTTTAA